TCATCAAGCAACATGTTTTATGGGTTTTATTTTTATTGAAACTATTACTGATAACTGAAAGCAACATTGGTCTGAAATAATTTAAACAAGAATTGTCATTTAATAACAAAATTCATTAAAACATATAAGAATGAAATGATTTTAAAATTAACATACTATCATTTTGATCTTTAAATTTTTTAAATTTATTACTAGATTTTGAAGTGTAGGATAATCTGTTGACATCAGTGGCCTATCAAAGAGGAGAGTGTATTTGAGTGCAACATTGTGCAGACAAGTCACAAAATAAGAGGCACTGGACAACAGAGGATCTGATGACTAAATAATTCAGTAATGAGAAAAAAGTAAGGTTTTTATAAGATGCATACACTCACTATCTCAACTGAACAGAGCAGATGCACAAACTTACATGAGAGGATTGACCTGAGTTTGAGGCAGAATTTCATGTCTGCTGTAAGGCTTCTCAGCTGCTCTCCAGGGGAAACCACCCCCAAACTAGAACTGCATCCTGTTCTGTCCGAGTCCATAATTCACGTGGCAAGTTGTTTTCTCCTTGACCTGTTCTCCTGCTGCACTACAAGGTAATTGTAAATTCTGCTTCCAATGGGAAATTTCTGTCTGCTATTTTGAGATGTGTTTAATTTTGGAAGAAAAGTAACGTATCTGCAATAGTAATTCCTGTTTGAAAAATTAGGCATGTTCTGGTCCAGAGAATATACTGTATCTAAGAGAATGAGCTCCTAAGATAAGGGTTAAGTTTTCTTTTGTTGCCCCATTATTTTTCCTGGAAGTTCTCCCCTTTGTGCCAGTGTTATGTGATAACATTTCATATGTAAAAAGAAGTTTCCCAAAATAAAATTTCTGGTGAGAAAAGGAGCAGTTGCCCAAAATAAGTAGCATGTTATTGCTTCATGAAAAGTACAGTGTTAAACAGAGAAAACAACATTGCTGCACCCACATTAGGGCAAAGGGTTGTTGAAGCTGCTCTGTTTACCCACCTGCTTGTGTGTGTCTGTTCCAATAATGTTGTGTGTGTAATTGGTACATACCAGTGAATGGACAGGCTCAAGGCTGAGCCTAGTTTTTTCCCCTCTCCTAGATGTCTTTGCATGGAAAACACCTGAGTGGGCATAGAAAAACTCATGTGGAGGGTGTTTACGTGCCAAAGGGTGAGCTGTCTCTCAGTAGGTGAAATTCTACTCATGAGAACTCAGACCAGGCCCAAGATATTGGTTATCTAAGGCACTAAAGACACGTAATGGAACATTGTAGTCAGTCCAAGAGAGAATAAAACAGAGGTATTAAAAAAGTGATTCATAATATTCCATACTTTCCAGTTTGTTTTTCACTTGAATAACAAATTTTCTCTCTACAATAAGAAATAAAACATTGTTGCTATTTTTACCCACTTCTAATTACATACTTGCTTCAGAAGAGCTATAAAATAGTGCTCAGATCCCTTTTTAGCCATATTTTTTTTTATCAGTTGCAGAAGCTCTCTAAACTTGAAGTTCTAATTTAAAAAATATTCCTGTCTTGCATCAATGATCCAAAGAGTAATGCATCAGAACTGCCTGACCCAGTGCCTGACACATAGTGACATGTCAATAAAAGTCATTTTTAAACTGTATTTTGTTGTTTTCCTGGTTTATATTTTCTGGTTTTCCCGAATAATTAATTACTTGCAGCTGGTAGTCTGTTTACACTATTATTTTTATTTTATTGCATTACCTTAACAAATGCCCAGGAAAAACCTCCTAAGGAAATGTGGACAGGATCTGAGCATTTAGTTAATCCAAACATTGTCTTTGAGTTGCCCAGTGCCCACCCCAGGGTGCTATTGATATCTGAGGTCAGATGGTGCTTTACTGGGGAGCTGACTGTCTCGCCTGAGGGTTTCAGCCCCGGGCAAGTTCACTCTGGATTAGGTGAGACCAGAAAATGCCAACAGAATGTTGGCAGTAAAAGCATTTATACCCAGCTTTATTCTTGTGATAGCAGGTCAAGCACTAGAATCCTGTCTACCTCAGGGCAATCTGCATGCAGCAAGCCCCTCTCTACCTCTGGGCCTCTCTGCTGCCTCACAGCCCCAGATCACTGGGTGGAGCTCTTTATACAGAGTCAGCAATAGCTCACTGCCCACACTTGGGCAAGCATGTGGCTGCAAGCATTGGGTGTGCTTAGTGGGCAGACAGACCAGGGGCAGGTGAGGATCCATTTTCCCTACACACACCAGTTCACTGTAAGACGTTTAGCAGCATTTCTGGCCTGTAACTAGTAAATGCCAGCATCAGTCCCTATCCACCACAACTGTAACAATCAAAAACGTTTCCCCATATCCCCTGGGGTTAAAACTACCCAAGCTGAGGACCTGTGATGTAAGCCATCCACGTGGCCATAGTGATTACATCTTGAAAACCTGTAACCATAGTGTGCCCCAGTGTGCACTGCCTATAATGATGGTTAGGGTCTTCTCTCTGAGAACCCAGGTCTTTCTTACAGTAAGAGTGTTTTCTTCTTTGGTCCTGTGTGGGGAAAATGGAAGTTCCTATGTCCAGGATCCTCACCTGACTCTAAACTACATGATGATGTAACTGGCCTACTGCTAGCCTACTGCTTCCACACCTGTAGGCAATAAGCTATTACTGACTGAGTCACTATATAAGGAACTCCACCCAGTACTCTGGGCAGAGGCAGGGATAGATTATGGAACTATGGAGTGCTGGATGCAGACGTGATTCTAGTGCTTGACCTACCACCAGGTAGGTATAACCCCTTTTACTCCAAGTATGTTTCGGTGACATTTTTTGCTCTCACTGAATCCATAGAGAACTTGCCTGGGGCTGAAACCCTTGGGCATGACATCTTGCTACTAAACAAATCACTTCAGCTTCCTTTACTTGATAAGTATCACCTTTGACCCTTGAAAAATCATTCTGCAGGCTTGTTCCCACAGTAACTCATAAAGTGATGTTCTCAATACTCAGGGACTTAGATAATCAAAAATGCATTAATCATGTCCTTCCCTACCATATTTGCATTTTTTGGTAATTATAGACTAATGAGCATGCCCTTTATGTGATATTTTAGTTCACTTATACTTTATAAATATTTCAGCTTTGTGATAATTAACTAAATTGATCATTATCAATTAGAAATGCAATCTGCAATGTAGTTAAAAAATATTTTTGAATAGTACTTTTAATGTCCTAATAATCTCTGAATAAAATTCACCATGTTATGTTTGAAAAATCAATCCAGAAGTAAATGTAACTAAATGGTTTTCTAATTACGGGAAGCTAGGCTTTATAACTGTACACACGGGGTATATTTGCCCTACATCTGATTATGTTGCTCTTCACAGAAATTCACACAGAGAAAAGGTGTTCAGTAGAATTATTCTGAAAGAGAAGTTGTTTCATTTGTAAAGTAATTCTTTTGCAAGGCTGTAATTTGATCATATAATGCAAATTTTAAATACAGCTTTGATATTTACAAATTGTAGTTATGTCAGAGAAAGTTAAGAGGAGAAAACTTTAACAGCTCATGTTTTTTTGTTCAAGCTTTTTCAGACATTCATTTTCTTTGAATAAAAAAAATCATGGATAAACCACATTCCAAATGTAAATGAGCACGTCATAACACATCTTTGAAGGGAACTAACATATTTTCAAGTTTTAAATGCAGTATTCACTACAATTATTATTGACTTTTGGCTTTGTGCACTTGTCTGTGTGTATGTTTGACTTTATTTAGTATTATATTGGCTTTTTATATACCATTTGCAACTGCTCTTTTAGTTTTCTTAAATTATCTCATGAGTCAGAATTTTCTTTTCACTGGATCCAGAGTTCTGAAATCTTAAGTTACAGTAAGGCGTATTAAATGTGTAGTCTCAAAGTTTTATATAACTTCTTTGGGTTTTGTTAAAGCACTCATGTCTTAACATTGATTTCTATTTTTAATTAGCTATTATGCATTTTTAATCATATTTAAAATTCATTGTGATTTTACATGACAAAAACATTTCTTTCAACTATTGAAACAATGCATAATGCAAAATAATGATATCTTTGAGTTTATTCCTCCAAAAAGGCCACTAAGCCTCTATAAATATACTCCAAGTGTAATAATTTTTAATCACTTGTTAAAAGTGTAGGTAAGAATTTTGCCTGTCCATTAGAATTTTTTGACAAGGAAAAAAATGTACAGATGCGTGTAATCTGATTAGTCATTGGGCATATTCAGTGCCTCTTGGTATTGGCTGAGGTTGGATTAAATTAGGCTCTGGTGCATTTGTTGAGTGGAGCCAGAAAGTCCGCCCTATTTACTTTTAAAATAATTTTCACTGAGTAAATTATGGGCATTGCCATTAAAGAAATCACATTACTTCAGAATTAGTAGTATCTATTTCTTTTAGAGCTGGAAGATGATTATTATCTCTTAAAAGATGGAGAGGCTTATGATATTTTTAATCATGTCAGATGTACAGTTATAAAATAGTAACAAGCATGAGTTAAGAATACTCAAGCTTAAAATTCTACGAAGAGTAATGTTTACAAAGAAAATCAAGACAAAATAAAAATAAACTAACGAAAAACCATGTGCCATAAAAATTTTGATTATTTGACAGTAATTTCATTCAGCTTTTATATACATTCACTGAGAGCCAGCAGTAGCTCTGCAGTCTAGTAGCTCTGCACTGGGAAATCTCACAGTTTGATTCTTAAAATCTGTAAATTCTGTGTTACTGTCCCAATATTCGTATGGGAAAAATTGAGGCCAAGAACATTTATTTAGGAAACTAGTCCGAACCACCACATTTTGCAAGTCCTACTCAGATTTGAAGACAGGTGTGACGTTCTTTGTTCTTCACTATTCATTTATTGTTTTCTGCAGCCCTTGTAATAGAGTTGGCAGTACTGTTGTCACTCTCTTGACTTTCTATTGATAGAACTTAATGTATCTGAATTAACTATTATTTTTCTCTTTTCATACAGTGCAAGCTAGAATATCAGGCATGTGTCTTAGGAAAACAGATCTCAGCCAAATGTGAAGGGCGTTGCCCATGTCCTTCAGATACACCCACGAGTACAAGCAGAAACATTCTGAGAGGTAAGTGAAGAAAATATGTCTATAGTTGTACATTCGTTCCTGCTATTAAAATGTTTTGTAACAATTATCAGTAAATACAACAAGAAAGTTTAGTAATATTGTAACCGAGGTCTTTTTCTTTTTTTGCCTTGAGCTGCATCATTATAGCATGCAGTATTTTTCTATAGATTCATATTTATCTTGATAGCAATATTTGGAGGTTTCTCTTCTACATGCTCATCATATATAAGAAATCTTAAGCATTGCCTTCTATGAATTATTGTGCACACAGTGTGTGTTTTAACATCCAGTTTTTCTTTGGGAGCAAGTTAGTGGTAAAGTAGTAAGTGATAAAGTAGTTTGGTCAGATGTGAGGTAAGCCATGCAATTAGCACTAACCTTTTTAAGTAACAGTGTCTGCTCCATTTATTGTGTGTGTGTGTGTGTGTGTGTGTGTGTGTGTGTGTGTGTATACAAAATTTCCTCCTGAATAATTTCATAATTCAAACTTTCTTTTGATTATGTCTGGAATTCGTAAATCTTTATTTTCATTACTTTGCCTAATAAATTAATGAAATATATTGAACTCGATATGTATTATACTATATAATTTGACCTTTCATAGATTATTTAATGTAGTTTACATTCTTTATATATTTGAGATGTTGTTTATGCCTTCAAAAAATCTCCATGGCTGCTTGTTTCAATTCTTCCCACCTACGGATAAAGAAAGAGATTCAGTGAAAAGATGTTTAAGTCAAAGACTATTTTATGGAACATTATCATCAATATTTATCACATATTTTATTACCATCTGAATCTTGTAATTAAACAATTATTGTGGGTTTTTAATGTAGAGAACTGATTTTTGCCTTTTTTCCTGATAAATATCAATAATGCATATGGAGACAGAAAAACTTATTGAGAAATGTACTTAATATACGCTATGCATTTTCCTAAACAGAGAGTACTTGATATTTCGTGTTACAGTCCCATGATATTTTTTTACAGATAAAACTTTTGATCTTCAATTATGCCTCTTATATTGGATTTTGCTCATTAAGTAATATTTAAGATAATTAAAAAATTAAAGCCTGTTATAGCATCATCTTTGGTAAAGTGGCTAGTCAATTATATTATTCAAAAGCCCGTTAGGTGATTTGTTACTTAATGGTAAGTCAGTGCCCAGACATAGGCAAAGTGGGGAAAGACGCCAGCCAGTGAGTTAGGGTCTCAGCTGCCTTCTGCCAGCCTGTGCTTAAAGCCTCACGCTAGAGGCCTCCCGCCTTCCAGGGCAACTTCTGAGCTTGGTTCCCTCTGGACTCCTGGTCCCCAATCCACTCCCTCTCACAGAGCCCAAATAGGATTGTCAGTGAGAACTTAGATACATTGATCCGCCCCCGTATGATTAAGAGCTAATTACAGTTTTCCTTTAGCTGAAGTGCTGGGGTGGCTCTGCCGTCCTCATCCCCACACCCTGGCTACCCAGAGGAGCAGCTTCCTCTGAAGTGAAAATCACTTCAGGCGTGAAGTGCCTGGCAGGTTGTGCCCACCCGTGTCCTCTCTGTGGGAGGCCACCGAGGCCACTGGGAGGGAGCAGGGTCGCGAGTGCACACTCACAGTGATCCCAGCCTTCAGCATCAGCAAGGTTCCCTGCAGAGGGCATTCTGCTTTTGGACTGGCTTTCACATGAGAAGATGCGTGTGATGTGGCCTCGGTTTATCATCACTTCCAACAAACCACAAAAGGAACTGAAGATGCATTAACTTGGGAGGACAACACATCTTGTCAATAAACAATAATTATGTTTCATGTTGCTTAAATTTTCTGTACAATGTCTATATTAATGTCAGGAAGGACACTTTTCTTAAAGTTGTATCACCAGGAGATAAAGATCACTTGTGTTCAACTGTGCATAGAAAGGCGGGCATGGCCAATTTAAACCGATCCTGCTCTGGTAGTGTGTCAGGGACGAGCAAGCACAGGGTTTTGCTACCCACGGTGGAAAAGCAATACGGAGTTGTAAATGTCATTTCTACACAGCACCAAAGGCCAAGAGACATGGGAAATGTAAAAGTTCAGTATCCCTTCTAATCTTCCAGCTGTCATTTACATTAGAAGAATGCCTTCTGTAGACGGGGCAGTACAGGGAAGTCTATTTAATAGCATCTCTGTTCTAGAAAAAGTGAGGAAGAAACTACCATCAATGAAATAGTTAACTCTCCTGACTTACTGAATTTGAGGTCAAACTGGCACCATAGTGTGTTTTCATTGTGGGAAGAGCACAGTGAATTCTCAAATCTACTTGACATATGTTCAAAATAATAAAAGTGCATTTCTTCATATAGTAAGAAAAAATAAACATCTCCTCTGATCCAAATGTGTTCAGTAACAGATGTACATAAATTGGTCCAAGTATATATATTTTGTTCAAGTAGTATATTTAAGAAAATAATAGGTAGTTGACACTTTTTAAAATTCCAGATTCTGATTTTACGTAGATAGGTAAGCACACCCCGTCTTCAATCACTGACCTCACTGTATAGTCTTGCTCTTCTAACTCACAAAATTGAGATGACCAAGTCCAGTGCTTCTGGACTTTTCATGTATTACCCACCCCTCCCCGCCCCCAACACACACACATACAAACACACACTTTAAAAGAAATTGTTATTTGGTCACAAATACAGAATGATTGTTTGGAAGGTTAATCAATTCCATTCAAAGACTCTTGGCATTTCAGGTGATTTCTAAAGGCCCTTAGTATGTTTTATATGGCCAGATTATTATGAGACTCAGAATTGTGGACATGGACTATGAATAGACTATTTTCCACTGATGCTGCATATGTATACATATAATGGAACCCTAAATGTCAGAAGGGACTTGTAGCACCAAAGATAAAAGCATCTGAAAGGACTTGAGAAAGTGTCTACTTTGAGCTGGAAAATCCAGACCCAAAAGGCTGCCCTAGAAATGTCTTGAATGACCCGCGCCACAGGCTCTGCTGTACAACATTGGATCTATGATGTCACTGGTGCTCTTTTAGGTTAGTCATTTGGCTAAATTCAGAAAATTCTTTTAATTGGCACCCTCCTGTAGTTTCAAACTCAAGTATGCCAATGTCCAAAACACTTTTGTTTATCATTATGGATTTTATGTAGCTATTATGGTTTTATATAGCTAATCTCAATTTTTTATTAATTTTAAATAATATCATTTTTTTATCCTCACTTCTAGCATGCTCAAAACTCTAACACCTTCATAATTTTAATGTTGAGTTTGAGTGGAGATAGCAACAGAGATGGAAGAGGACCTGTAACAAATTTCAATATTATCAGAAAAACAAAATACAACAGATGCTGGTGAGGATGGGGAGAGAGGGGGACCCCCTTGTATACTGTTAGTGGGAATTGGTGCAGCCACTATGGAAAATAGTATGGAGATTTCTCAAAAAACTAAAACTGGAAAAACCATATGTCCAGCAATTCCACTTCTGGGTTTATATCTGAAGGAAATGAAGTCAGCATCTCAACAAGATAATCTGCACCCCCATGTTCATTGCAGCATTGTTCACAATAACCAAGACATGTAAATTAACTAAGTGTTCGTTGACAGATGAATGGACATATACATACATATAATATGGAATATATATAATACTACATATAACAGAATATATATCATGTACACACCCACACATATGTGTGTGTATACATAAAACATGGAATATTACTCAGAAGAAGACCCTGCCATTTGCAAGAACATGGATGAATGTGAGGACACTGTGCTAAGCCAGTCTATACTTGTCTATACTTCAGCCAAAGAAGGAGAAAAACCACATGATCTATTTTATATGTGGAATCTAAAAAAGTCAAGCACAAAGAACCAAATGATAAACAGTGGTTACCAAGGGTGATAAGGTAGGGGAAATGGGGAGATGTTGGTCAAAGGGTACAAAGCTGAAGCTACATAGGATGAACTAGTCAAGGGATCTAATATGCAGCATGACAGCTACAGTCAATACCACACGACTGAACACGAGTCAATGCCTCTCTATAGAACACCAGAGAATACCACCCTGTGAAATACTAGTCAATACCACTGTACTGAACACTAGTCAACACTGCCGTGCTGAACACCAGGCCACACCACAGTATTAAACAGTAGTCAGTACCACCGTGCTGAACAACAGTCAACACCACAGTACTGACCACGAGTCAATACTGTCTTGATGAACACTTGTCAATACCACAGAATTGAACATTAGAAATTTGCTGAGAGACTAGATCTCAGGTGTTCTCAACACATATGCACACATACAAGATGGAAACTATTTGAGGTGTTATGTTAATTAGCTTGCCTGGGTGACTTACGGAATGCTAACACAAATTACCAGCTCATTTTTTCCAATGTCTGTGGTCCATCATTTCCACTATAGCCTCACTGATATTTTTTTTGTACAATGCGAGAAGCCTCCTCCTATCAGAAGCTGAAATCATGTAACTCATCGTATTTCCCTTTATGCTTTATCCTCTTGAGTGTCAGACCTAAATACTCAGTCACATAAACCTATTAGCCACCATCTAAGACTGGCTTGCTCCTAATTTTGATTGTGTGTGTGTGTAACTTTTACAGAATTTCTTTTTGTTTTGTGTGTTGTTATGCTGTGGGTAGTATAATTTACTGACAAAGAGCACAGATTTTAGAATCCCTGTCCTGTACTGGCTGTGTGGCCTTTAACAGTACATTCAAATTTTTGAATCTCAATTTCTTCATCTGTAAAATCTAAAATATATACATCATAAAGATTTATGAATATATATCCTCAGATTAAAGCATCTTTGAACTTCTATTTCATTTTAATTGATGATACATATAAAATACTGTTGAATTCTCAAATTATGGAATTTTTTCATATATTAAATGTCACTCGTTATTTTATTTCTTACACTTTTTTATCAGGTTGGTTACAAAAAAGTTGGAGAAGTTTTCATTTTTTAGAGTCAATACTGTTTATA